AAATTTGTTTTCTCACGATGCTGGAGGCTAGAAGTCTGAGATCAGGGTGTCAGCATAGTTGGTTTCTGGTGAGAGCTTGCTTCCTGACTTGCACATAGCCATTGTCTCAACATGTTGTCACAATGGGGAGAGAAAGAGTGAGCTCTCTAATATCTCTTCTTATAAGGGCACTAATCCCATTATGAGGATCCCACCCTCAGGGCTTTCTATACACCTAGTTACTTCCCAAAGGACCCATCTCCAAATACCATCACACTGCGAGTTGGGACTTCATATGAATTTTGGGGTAACTCACTTCAGTCTTTAGCAGAAGTTTTTGGAGAGTTTTAGGCAGAGGGGTGACATGATACAAATTAGTTTTAAGGAATCACTCTTAGCTAGTATGTTGAGAATAGATTGAAAAAAGCTAAAGGCAAAATGAGGGAGCTTAGTTAAGAGGCTACTGCAAAAACCCAGGTAAGAAATGATGGTAGTTTATACTAGAGAACTATCAGTGGAGGGTATAAAAAATGGTCAGGTTTTGGATAAAATTTCAAGTAGGGCCAATAAAACTGATGGTTTCTATATGAGGTGTGAGAGAAAGTGAGAAGTTAAGAATGACTCTAAGGCTGATGAATTGTAAGAAATGAAATTGCCATTAATTGAGGTGGAAAAGCCCTCAGATTTGGGGAAGATATAACCAGGAGTTTAGTTTTAGTCATGGTTAAGCCTGAGGTGCCTGTTAGCCATCCAAATGGAAATTTTGAATAGACAGTTGAATATACAACCCAGATTCCTGGTTGGAAACACATGTTTGGGAGATGTCAGTACTTAAAGATCATTGTGAGGTGAAACCTAAGGGAGTGAGGGTATATTAAGGAAAGAAGTTCAAAGACAAGCACCTACTTGGGGGACTGCAAGATTAAGAGTTTGAGAAAATGGGGCAAAGTCAGCATAGGGGATTACAAAGTAAGGTAAGGGGAAAGCAAGAGTGTGTGGAATCTTGCAAGAAAGTATTTTATAAAGGAAAGAGCCAAATGCCATCAACTGAGGAATGGATACACAGAATGGGGCATATCTGCACAATGGAATACTGTTCAGCAATATAAAATACCAAACTACTGATAAATGTCACAATATGGATGAAACGTAAAGAAACATTAAGCCAAATAAAAGAAGCCAAACTCACAGACACACACATGGCTGCACATTGAATGATTCTAGTAAAATAAAATTTTTAGAAAACGTAAAACTATAGAGACAGAAAATAGATCAGTTATTGGGGACATGGGCAGACATGGCTTTGTGAAATAATGGAAGTTCTAAGACTGGATTGTGGTGATAGTGACACAACTGTGTTAAATATATGAAAGCTCATTGACCTGTACACTTAAAATAGGTGAATTTCCTGGGATATAAATTGGATCTCAATAAATCTGTTAAAAAGATAAAGAAAAAGACAGAGAAAGAGGGCAGAGAGACAGAAAGAGACAGAGAGACTGCACTGGAGTTGAATTGGGTAGTGCATGTACAGACAGAGCTTTTGAAGAGTTCACTATGGAGAGGAGCAGGAAAATGAGGTAGTAGCTGAAAGAGAACAGGAGTCAGGAGAAGTTTGCTTTGCTTTGTTTTGTCTTTAGATGAAGTAGGGGACAGTATGGTTGCACCCTGTGGGGAATGACGCAGAAGAAAGTAAACAATCTCTGGTAAAAATGTAGAAGAGAGGAAAGAGAATGACTGAAGCAATTCTTTAAGTAGATAAAAAAGGATAAACTACAGTGCACAAGTTGAGGGATTGGCCTTAGAAGTACAGCAATGCATCTATACTAAAAAAGAGAAGTTAGAGTGTGAATACACGTTAATGAGTGTGTGATTTGGTGATGAAGGCTTGTGGAAGTTATCTTCTAATTGCTTTCCTTTTACAATGAAATGGTTATCAGCTGAAAGTGAGGATGGGAGAAAAATTGAATGATGGGAGACATTGAAAGTTTGACAAAACTACAGTGAAAGCACTAGGTTCCCCCCCCCCCTTAATTTCTGGTCAGCATAAGCACACTTGAAATTCATAGTTTGTATTTTAAATTTAGACTAGTCTGCATAACTCTCTATTTTTTCTACAGTCATATTAAGCTGAGTAGTTTCAGGCATGCAGTAGGCTGAAAAATGATTTACATCGGGATCAGGGTTTCGCTGACTGTCGAGTCAGTGTGATGAAGCAAAGAGAGATGAAGAAAGCAAGGTTGTATGCAAGAAAATGTTAATGATTGAATGAGAAAAGTAAGGATCAAAGGAGGGGAAGAAGAGTGAAAAGGAGGTATGATCAATGATTTGTAGATTTCAATGAGGTTAAAGGATTCCTGGAATCAGGGTACTAGAAGCAGTGTGCAGAAGATAGTTCATGCTAGTCAGAGAATAGATGCTTGCAAATGAGGTAATTATGAGATTGTAGCTGTTGGTAATAACGGGTAAGTGGCTGAGATTGGTTGTAAAACAAGACCATGGGAATGAAGAAAAGAAGGTAAAATCTTCAGGAAATGAAGAAGAATGACAGCAACAAGAAAGTGTAGAGTTTGATGACTTGAAATTTTAAAAATTGAGGGGTCTTTTTTTGTAATGAGGAGAAGGGAGGATATATGTTCCAATCTCACACTGAATGGCACATACAATTAGGTAGAATAAACAGTCATAACTTTAAAGAGCTGCAGTGGAAACCATGTCTTCAGGGATTTCAATTGGATCCAGAATGTAAATGCCATGTTCAACAAAAGAGCTAAAGATATGCTATAGGATTTGGCTGATCAGAGGATAACTACCCATCTGGTAAGTGTTAAACATTGGTCTAGATGCTGAGCTACTCCTGTTATTCTGTGTCATGCATGTGTCCCCCAAAACTTTGCTATGCTAACACTGATGTTTGAGTAGGTCATTCGGCATAACACTTCAACATGAGTACTTGGTAGAATATAACCTCTCCTACAATTTTAAATTATATAATCAGTCTAATATTTCTTATGACTTATACAATAGCAATCAGCTGGCTTTGCTCTTGCTGACTTTATTCTTGTTGATCTCAATCAGATATCGCATTTTTATTTATTTAATCAATTATTAATACATATTCTTATCTTATGCTTATCATGTATGCAATTCACTATTTTTTCCCATTAGAAAGCTTCTGTATATAGTTTTCTCTGCCAATTAGATAATTTGTCTATGTGTAATCTTGCAGCTTTGTTTCTTATATTATCCTCTCTCATTTCATTTTTTAACACATGTTCCAACAGCCTTGCAATATAGATTGTACCTCAGAAAAATCTTACTTTTTCTCCACAGGGGTCACTGCATATTGTAAACCCCTGTAAGAATGGTGATGAACAGCTTCATCCTCTGTAGAGCCTGTTGCTTTCTCATCCACCTTCTTCTCCTCCTCCTTTCTCTCCTCACCCTCCTCCATCTTCCCCTTCTTTTTTTTTTTATCTCGAACACTTATTTATCTAATACTTCTCTTCAAACAAATCTAATGACACAACATTAGACATAACATGTATTAATTCTATAGGAGTCTCCTAAACCTACTAAAATCCTTTATAAAAAGGTGAAACAGGGCTTCCCTGGTGGCGCAGTGGTTAAGAGTCTGCCTGCCGATGCAGGGGTCACGGGTTTGTGCCCCGGTGCCGGAAGATCCCACATGCCGCGGAGCGGCTGGGCCCGTGAACCATGGCCGCTGAGCCTGCGTGTCCGGAGCCTGTGCTCCGCAACGGGAGAGGCCACAACAGTGAGAGGCCCGCATACCGCAAAAAAAAAAAAAAAAAAAGGTAAAACATATAGGTAAGATAGATATGTTTTCTGTAAAGTTCACAAACTGCTCACAAAAGGATTGGAGTGACTGAATTGACATATAAGAATTAGGTTGATACAACTCAGAAATTATTCCTCATAGTGATTCCCCTGAGTTTCAAAGCAGAATGTTTTCAAAAATATTTTCCTGTTGAAATATAGTTTTCTTTCAATTAAAAAGAAAGTTAGGAGGGTAAGATAAAGATGAGAAATTAAAAAAAAAACTGATTGAGGTCTAATCATAATTTATGATAAGGATTATCTATGGTAGAACAAAACTGAGCCCAAACACTACACTAATAATACAACCTAGAAACAAATATGGCTTTCACGCTAAACAAAGAAGAAAAATTTGTTGAGTTACAAGGATCCTGAATTCTGTATACAGTTGTTAACTCTAAAATCTTCATAATTTCTCAGGTAGAAATAAATGTTTGATTCTCTCTCTTTCTCTCTAATTGATGCTGCCCTTTCTTAAATTGTATTATAGGAAAACTATACTGAAGTACAAAGAGGCACTCATCTCAAATTATAGGACTCAAACATAATGGGTATATTTTTCTGTGAGTTGGAAAAAGGTAAGATAATTAACCTGAGCACTGTTTACTATTCTGTTACTCCAAACCCCAAGAAGTACTTACCTATTACCATGACTTTTACAAACAAAAACTCAAGTAGCAAGAAAAGAACAAGTAAATTATAGTTTTGTATGAACAAAAATATGTCTTAGCAGTTTTAGTTCCAGTGTGAAAAACTACGCCATAAACAACCCAGTTTCCAGCTTATCTTCTGAAACAAGATGCACAGTGGTATTTAGTTAACTCAACTCTGACATTCCAAATAATTTTGAATAGTTTTTACTCTCTCAGCTTATCACTTTCCTTGTACTCCAAGCAGTATATTCCTCACTGGTGGCAGGCAGAGACATAACCAGGACAGTCAACACTTAGAAAGACAATGAAACAATCTTATCACAGGAGCTAAGTCTCCTGCCCAATGGCATTTAGATTCTATGGTCTTTAATTACTCATCTGGTACTCTGATACCAGAATGATACCAGATATGTGCATGTCACGAAAACCATGCACATTTCACCTGAGTGTTCCCCAGTCAATACCCTGTTTAAAAGAATGAGCATATAGTAAAAGACAACAGCAGCAATATAGAATGAGATCCGACTGTACCTGGTGAATGAGGCGGAGGAGAGCACATCAGAACAACCCCCTGGCCTTCCCTCACAGAGACTGCACTTCTTGTCCGGCCACTAAAATTTCCCAGATCTGTCAACATAACACAGCATTTAGATGCAAGGCAAAAAGGAGCTTAAAGAATTACTATCTTGTAACTTGTACATACTTTTCTATCATTATCCAGTGAAGGTTTCTTTTTGTCAAGCAGTGATAGGAAGGCTTTGACAATAAATCTCTACCATCCAATTTTAAATACCACAATTTTCAGATTATATGTACACTGCTAATTTCTGTGTATAGTGCATACAAGTTGCCAGTGTAGGAATAAATTAAACAATGCCTTTATAACACATCAAGTAGTTATTTTACATCTTTATAATACTTTCTGCATATTAATTTTTCTACCACCAATTGAACCCATTGATACACAGTAAGAACAGAAATAGAAGTGGTTGGAGCGCCTGGTGTCCAACCTGCTGCTTCATTATCTGTCGTGCTAGGAACTGTGTATAAAGCCAAGCATGAATTTGCCAAATTAGAAAGACTTGTGCACTCAAGCAAAACATAATGAAGATATAAGGTGTTCTTTTCTATAAATGTGAGTTTAAAAAATCATGCTACTTTTATTTTATGGAAGCCTGGAATAGTGTGTACAAATTAATTATACTCATCCATTTTGATTACTCTAGAAGTATTATAGTTATCAAAACACTCACTTGTATGTATGAAGGACTGGGGTTAAATTGTCTTCCCTTAAATTATGTTGCATTTGCACAATTTAAAATATTTTCCTAAAAATAAAGTGGCCTTAAAAAAAGAATGATAGGCATTATTTATATTTCTTTTATCATTTATTAATCTATTCATAACTCAATACATATGTACCTTTCCTTTTTTATTGGGCTAGGCTGATCAAAGAAATGATTTTTAGTTTCTTGGAAATAGTAGGAGTTCAATATTTTTATAAATAAACATTGTCCCAGAATTCCTAGTTTGTAAAACCATGTTCTCCTGGTGAGAAATGCTTCTTGAAAATATTCTGCCTTTCCTGTCATTATTTACCAATCATAAAAGAGATTTTTTTCAAACTTTTCATCATTTCATGCTAAAATAGTATATTTCATAGTAATACAATGTAGATCTTAAAATTTAATGTCTGTTAAACCGACGAATGATGAAAGTAAGCAGTTAAGAAAATATACTGAATGGATATGAAAGAGATAAATCATTAACTTTAATATTAGGGATCGTATAACTTATTTTTTTGAGATATGGGTTACAATTTACTTATTTGCTGAATTTACAATCAAACCTTTTAAAATACATTCAAAGTCATTAAGGACTAATAAACAGTAAGGGCATAATGAATAAAAAGAGAGGAATTCATTATTGAAGAAAGTGTTTAGGAATTTACACACAATTCTGCATTTCACTGTAGTTAAGTGTATAATAGTTAATATAAATAATAGATAAAGTGGCAATACAAAAGAGAAAGAATAATTCTACTTTTACTTTTTTTGGTGGCTTGAAAAACATACACACTAACTTCTAATAAAAGTCAAGTTCATTCGTTTTCAAATTTATATGATTCATGACTTTAAACTAATGTGCATTGATCTTTAGAGATAGAGGCTGCCTTTTTTTCCAACAAATGACCTCAGTCTGATAACAAAGTATGGCAAGGTTTCCCATCTGACTTCCTTTGACTACTCTTAGAAACACAGCACAGTGAGGCAGTGGTTGCAGTGGGGCTGTTATATCTCTTTAGAGATTATATGGTTTTATTGTCCTCTTTTCATCTTCATTGAATTTATAAATTCTGAAAAGCGATTTGGATATCAATTTATTTTAACTGAGCTTCTTAAGTGTTTTCTGAAAAGTATATATGTAGCTTCCAATACATTTACTACAAGTTTATATTGTGCTTATTATGATATTTCAAATCAACCTATCGTAGTTAAAAAATATTTTAATAGCAAACAGTCCTAAATGAAGACCTATTTCTGATAAATTGAAGTACAGGCATGGCCTAGAAATTAGACACAAAAAAGAAAAGAAGATTATACAATAAGTATGACCTGAATTGTGTTTTGAGATCACAATGACCCAAAAGATAACACTCAGCTCTAATTGCCTTATTTTGTATCATCAGTTAATACAGGTACAATTAACATTTTCTCATGGAATTTTCTACGTGTCATTATTTCCTAGGAGCTATAGCACCAGCAGTACAAAGGTAAATGGAGTTTTTTCAACTGTGAATAGATTATTTTTTTTCCTTAAGACATATAGAGAAATACTAAAAAGAAGCCTGCACTTTGAAGGAGAGTGTGTTTTCCTCATTTAAATCCTTCCTCTTAGGAAAAAGAAAAAGGGTAAAACACTATTATTTATAATGTAAAAGTGGTCCTCGTGTCAGGCAAGATTCTGGTTGATATGAGACCAGACTGATGTGAAAAAATTCTTGGTTGGAGTGGGGATGGCAACTAGAGAGAATAGTCTGAGTAAAAATACAGCCAGTTATTTTGATCTCAGTGTGAACAGAAAGCAGTTGGTTTCTTTGGAGGTACTCATCATAGAACTTAGTTTGAGTGCTTATCACATTATTTTAGTAAGCATTCTATTATATCTAGGAGAGAAATTAAAATAAAAAGAACAAGAGATTTTATGGATGTGACTTTGATTATTTTTTGTCACCTACAGAAGGGAAAAAATACCTGTTCCTATGTTCTATTTTTGATCTTTAAGGGGAAAAAAAATGAGTAAAAATAAAAATCTTAATACAAGGACTCTAAAATTCAGCTTCAAAGTATAAAATGAAGTAAACTTCTTTCTGGACTCAGTATAAAACACATGGACAAACAGACAAGTAATAATATGGAGGAGAAAGTTTATGATCAAGAATCACAGGGCCTCAGGCCTTGTCTTTTCTCTGACCCTTTTTCCAAGTTCAGAAACTCATGCAGAGTTTGAGAGTGGAGCTTTAACTAGAACTGTGGCTTACAGAATTATTACACCTATTCATCCTAGGTAAACCATACAAAGAAAAAGGTATACAATTAATGATGTGACTGAGAGACTCACATGACAGAATATAGAGTTGGAATGTGTGATTGGAAGCATATTGACAATACATAAGACAAATAATTTCCTTTATTCATTTAACAAATATTTTTTTCAATGCAAACTATACACCAAATACTATGTTAGGTACTGATGACACAGAAAAGCTGTAAAGGAAGGCTGTATATAAATGAACTAATCAAACTTACTTGGGCCAACTGTCCATAGACCCAGCTCAGATGAGTCTATGCCACCAAATAGATGCATAAGCCCAAGCCATCACTGCTTCAGCTTGTCACAGCCATACTTATGGGTAACTAGTACATACCATGTGCATGTACCATATAACACTTCATGCCATTCCCCTAAATGTATGTTGCAAACATATGCACACCAACACATACACATACATACACTGCACATACACTTTGAGTTCCTTCCTTCCTTCCTTCCTCAAACCTTCTTGCCTACCATCTTTTCTTTTCTTTCCTTCATTATTACACAAAGGGTTTGGGATAGCTTAGATATATATGTATATAATACAAAATATAAAATTGGTAGTTGACAAATTCCAGGTGAAGGCAAAATGGGTATGGCAAAAATCTTGTAGTGTAACGAGGACTTAAGAAAATATGTCATAGACTTCTTTTGTGAATTATTGGAAGTTGGCCATAAAATTTGACTCATAAACTTAAGAGGGTCAAAACAAACATGGATATGTTCCCAGTCTTAGAATTCATGATTATTTTAAGATCAAAACTTTCTAGTAACTCAGGAGAAGTACAGTGTCACTGGATATTAAGGTTCAAGAGGGATTTCTTCTGCAAGACTTCATAAAGATCACAGTGGGTGGTATAGTAGGCTGAGCAAGTTTTCAAGTCAATTAGAAAGGTTCTTCACCCACTGAAACACTTTAAGTAGGTGTAGTGTGAGCTACACACACACACACACACACACACACACACACACGTAAAAATATTTCAGAAATTATTCCCTAGAATGGTGAATTATTTTAAAGTGTTGGAGAGTGACAGGGGTTTTGGATACTAATTTTACGATTATGTATGCTAAATATAAGAGATTGGTTAGTTATTGGGGAGAAGTGAGGGAAAATGGTCAAGGCAAGAAGATAAATCTTATATAATTAGGAATGAAGTGCTGAGGTTCACCTTTCTTCTGGTTTTTAATTTCCTAGTCTTAGATCTGTTCCAAATAAATGTCAATCCTTGGCTTATGGGAGTCATGCATTTGGAAGAAGGAATAGAAATGGGGTGATCATTTTGAATTGCACTCAGTTATACATTCACCCTATAGGTGGGGCCATAAGTTTTAGACTGTCAATGCTCCAGGCATGCTCAATTAATTCTCTAATGTTAAAAGTGCTATGACTATAGAGATAATTCATTATGAATTCAAAAATTCTTAAAGTTGAGTTTGAATTTTTACAAAAAGTGAAACCATTGAAAAAGACAAAACACTTTAGACCAGGTGTCAGACACGAGCTTTATTAAATGTTACTAACTTTGGGGTATCAGATTCATATGTAAGATTGTTAAGATTGAGGAACTAAGATGAGTGATATATCTGAGGGGACTCATGGATTTAACTTCTACGATTTCTACAAAAATGACTGATAGATTGCATATTGAAGTCTTCCATCAGTTTTGTTCTTGTTCCTGTTATTATCATCAAGATAATTCCGATTATTGTCAGACTTTTTGTGTATCCAGTGTAAATATCCTGTAATAAAAGTTGGTCAGACCTCATTCAGAAACTATCTTTGACATTGTAAAATGTTAAAAATATAAGGGCAAATAAAAGAATGGATGGATAATAATTACACTAGCTACTAGCATACTATTGTATGCCAAGTTTCCTGGAAATGAAATAGTAATTTCTCTGTTTTAAAGATTACTAAATGTATGTGAAAAGTAAATAAGCACTTGACTTTGGTCATACAGTTAATAAGTAGTGAGTAGGCAAATCAAACTCAATGTGGTTGTTTTTAAAAAATGTATTAGGAAAAA